ATACAGCTTTTTAATCATGACTTAACGTAAAAAATAAATATATAAGAAAAATTTGTCTCTACTTATAAATATTTTTAATCTAAAAGGCTCTAAATTTTCATCTTTAACCCAAAAAGGAAATTACGTCTTACGAGGGGAGACGCGTCGGCGTCGACCCCAGCCTTTGAAGAAATAATCTTGGGACCCATTATATCTTGTAATAACCGACTACCATTTCCTTCTAAGAGACGGCAAAGATGCTCCCAGATTTTTTCCTATTCGAGTGGAATGCTTAACCCCTAATAATTGTGAATAGTGATACTTCAAAACAGCAGAAAGTATTGGCGCTAAAAATTAAGTTTGATTTTGCCCGATTAATCGTGATACCCGATACCCTTCCAAAGTCATCTAAAATTTGAGAAACTTGCTCAACCTGACTGGAGTTAGCTTGAAAGAAGAGAATTGTATCATCTGCATACATCAAATGAGACAATGCCAACGAATCCCTGGCTACTTTAATACCCTTCCATTTGCCTTGGTTCTGTAGTGATTGAAGTCCACGAAAGAGCATTTGCGCAAATAATAAAAAGATGAGGCGACGACGGGTCCCCTTGCCATAGACTTCTTTGTGGGAGAAAATGTTTAGAAAACACACCATTTAAATTCGCTTGATAGGATACAGACGTCACACACTGCATGATTAAACGTACCCATACCTCAGGAAATTGCATTCTCTTTAAAGTATATTCAAGAAAATCCCAAGCCATGGAATCATATGCCTTAGTGAAATCAACTTTTGAAGCAGCCCAGCAAGTGTTCCCTCTCCTCATGCAGTGAATTTTATGAAGAACTCGAGAAACAATAAAAAAGTTATCAGAGATCAAACGCCCATTTGAAAACGCACTTTGCTATGGAGCAATATAATCCCCGAAAAAGATTGCAAACCGTTACGGGTAGCTTTGCAATGATCTTATAACTGACATTGCATAAGCTTATAAGCCTCTGGTCCCTAAAAGACAGCACTCAAACATTTGGGAATTAAAGTGATAATGGACCGATTTAGCTCCTTCAACAAAAAACCAGATGCTGAACCATAGAACAAATATCTTTTTTCAACAAATCCCAGTTTCCCAGTTCCTTTGAACGAAACGAGCATAAAAACCTTCTACTCCCGAAGCACTCTCTGCTGGCAATTGAAAAACCGCTTCCTGAATTTCATCCATCGTAAATTCTTTTGGCAGAAAATTCTTATGAGATTAAGATAAAACAGGAATAGGAATATTTTGTAGCCAAGGAACAGGCACTGCAAAAATAGAGGAAAAATAGGTAACTGCTTGCTCAATGAAGATTTGCTCATCCTCAATCCAATTCCCCTGATTATCCTTAACTCGAATGAGACTCTTGGCGGCCTGCCTTCGTTTAACACGTGAATGAAAATATTTCGTATTTCCATCACCATGATTAAACCATGACATTTATGCACGTTGTCCCCATAAAGTTTCCAGACATACATAGAGAAATTCGAAATTGTGCCTCAATTGAATCTCCTCCTCTTGATGATTTAGAAAATCTGTCATCGTAAAACCTCTGTTCCACTCCATTTAACCAAAGACCTCATAGTTCTGGCTAGTTTAGTCTTAAGTCGGAAGGCCGCAGAACCCGTTATGTGAGTATTCAAGCATTGAGGAATAATATCATGAGCCTGCTGAAAAGATTCCCAAATAACTTCATACTTAGAATAAGGTCTTCGTTTCATACCATTCTTTTCTTCTGAAGTAAGTAAAATAGGTGTATGGTCAGAACCAGCTCTAAGGAAAACAACAATTCTGGTATTTTAGTGCATGGAAAACCAAAGGTGATTATATAAGGCGTTATCCAATCTGGCCCAAACCCGCTGGCGACCACCTCTATTATTAGACCAAGTAAACCATTGCCCTTCTTGAGGAACATCATACAGTCATCTACACTAATCTGTTTCTGGATTCTTGCAAATGGCTTAATCTGAATGAATTGACCATGGGGTATATATTTGTCCAAGTATCAACTACATTTATTTGTCTTCTTCATCTTCTTGAAATAACCATATCCTTGTGATGTATCACCTACCTCTAGTTCTCTAGTTAAGACCTAGTTGACTAGTTTAGAGATATCAGGAAAGTTAGTAAATTATTTAATTATAGCACATATTACATGATCTCTCTAAAATATTTATCCGGACCATTATATTATATATCAATTTATAAGTGAGACAAATTAATTTAAATAAAAATGATAAATATGAATAGTTTAAAGTACTTTATTAACTTTCTTAATTTTTTTGAATTAGTCAATTGTGTCTTGTATTAAGAGCTGGATGCAGTAATTGTTTTCTTGATTTAGTATCAACGTAGAAATAAATATAAGATTAAATTGCTCATGCAAATTGAGTTATGTCTCTTTAGTTCTCCATATTTTTATATGCTCTGTTTCATTGGAATCCATACATCAATATGTTACATGCCTAAATCTTCTATTGCTATTTGATATCATCGATATTAAATCAATCCATCTAGCTAATTTGTTCAGTCAAGTCGTATAGTTTTATGAAACTTCGTTATCCAATTCTCTTTCAAAATTTGAAACAGGGGAGGGGCGTTCTGCTAGATGGTTGAGCCAAAGTGAAGGTTTTCGGGCTTCATTATGTTTAACGATCTCTTGCTTCATCCTCCTCTCTAGCTCCTTCATTTCACAATGGTTAACTTTCCTACATTGAATTCAACTCTTTCTTTTCGCCATTTCCCTCTAAGCTTGCATATAAGTATATAGAGATCCTGATTATAGTTTAATTTCATAACTGTTTCTTTCTATTTTCCCCTTTTTTCTAGTTTATTATGATAAGTAATATGATTATGTAAGTTGTTGAAAATCACTATTGGGACTGACAAACCAAGAGGTCAAAAACGTGCAATAATGGCATATCAAGGAGTCCTCAAGCTCTCCTAAGTGGAAATATGATCTTTTCTTGAGTTTTACAAGGCAAGACACTTGAGTCAATCTTAGGTACGTAGAAGTGGTATCACAATTTTCACTTTAGGAGTGATGAAATAAAGAGAAGTTATGAAAAATATATTGTAGAGAATATATTTTTCTTGAAAGTAACTGAAAGTCAGGGATAAAGGTTTACAGAATTTTCGAATAACAATTGCATTATATCACCGCGTAAAATAAGTGACCAACTAGAAATTTCTCATGTGATGCCTAGACTAGTATATTTAATTAGATATGAAATTAAACAATATTTACTTTTAATTTAATATATTTAAATTTCTATTAAGATATTATTCAAATCCAAAATTAATTATTAATTTTTTCATCTGAGCCGCTAGTTGAAATCCTATTCAATTATAGTGCTTCCCATTTAATTCAATACATTTAAATCCCAATCAAGATATTATTCAAATCTTATTAATTGAATATATTCAGATCCTATAACTATATTACAAGATTCTAAGAACATGATGATTGATTTTATATATATATGTGTGTGTGTGTCTATATATATATATATATATATATATCTGTGTGTGTATAATGTACGTGTATCTGAACAAAAAACGAGAAGAAAGGAAAAAATTCATTATAAAAACCAAACTTAGAGTCCCTTGTCAATATTCTAAGGGCCCACAGTTGAAATGCGGATGGCGGGCGAATGGGTTACCACAAGCAGAGGTTGCTGCTTGTGTTATTAATTTTAATTAATCTTTCTCAACCATTTGATAACTTGTGATGAGTATTAATTTGATGCACGGAATAATAGGAATATGTTTCTCATATTCATTTTATTTCTTTACTTCTGTCATTGTGAATTGTGATAACTCCATTGTCTTTTTTTAGTTGTAATTTCATATATGGTTGGTGTCACATGTAACGCTCTCAAAGAGTTTCTGAACAAACATCTGGGCTTGTAGAAGCTTTTGACAACTTCATTCAATATCTTTGGTAACCTAATATCATTAACAGAGTTAGACTTAAGCTAATGTGGCATTCGTTATTACATTCTAGTTGCTTCTTCTAAACTTTTTCATCTACACTGTGATCTGTTTCTGGATTCTTGCAAATGTCTTAATCCGAATTAATTGACCATGAGGTATGTTTGTCTAACTATCAACTATATATATTTATTTGTCTCTTTGTCTTCTTGAAATAACCATATCCTTATGGTTTAATTGTTTTCCTGATTTAGTATCAACGTAGAACTAAATATGTGATTAAATTGCTCACGCACGTTGAGTTATGTCTCTTTAATTCTCTATATAATCATTACTAAATCAATTTATCTAATTTGTTCAGCGAGGTTGTATAGTCTTATGTGCTAACTTAAACTTGTAATTATGTATGAAACATGGATCCTATTCTCTTCCAAAAATTCGAAACAGGGGAAGTGTGTTCTGCTGAAGGTTGATCCAAATTAATTGAAGGTTTTCGAGCTTCATTCTATCTGATATTCTCTGCTTCATCCTCCTCTCTAGCTCCTATATTTCACGGTAGCCTGGTTGCTTTTCCTACATTAATTTAAACAAAAGCGAAATACACTTCCAATCTTGCCCATTGAATTCGGATATTTCTTTTCACCATTTCCCTGTAAGCTTCTATATAAGTAATTAGAGACCCTGCACTTTTTTTTTTTGTTAAAAAAAACCAACTCAGTATGTCCCTTAGTCTAATTTCATATAAGTCTAATTTCATATAACTAGTTCTTTTTATTATCCTTTTTTCTTCTCTGTTTACTATGGTAAGTGATATGATTATGCTGCTGAAAATCACTACTGGAATAGACCAAGAGGTCAAAAATCTACAATGGCATACCCTTTATTTCCATCTTATCAGTTTTATTTTACAAATCACTTGTATGCAAATATAATCTAGCTGTAAGTAGGTAGAGTGGTATCGTAGTGTTCAGTGATGAAAGAAAAAGAGAGGATAAGTTGTGACACAACAATTCTAAAGCAATTGAGGATTTTGCAAATATAATCTAGCTAATTTTACAACTTCATAATGAACTTGCGAAGCATTCTCCAAGAAAGCTTGAGTTCATCATCAGGAGCAGCAAGTTGTGGTCGGGTGAGTTGGTCGGAATCCCTGAGATTGCACCACTCTTGTATGTCTTCTTTACATATCACTCTCCACCCACTTCCCTTTATTTCCATCTCACCGACGTACGTCGAAAGTTTAATGTGAAGGGAATTGCTATCATGAGCTCTTAGGTGCTGCCAACATGTTTCCTCATTTAATTCCAACACCATTATGCACTGGTTAGCCATAGGATAATTAAAGACGAAAATCGAATGTCTCCCCAAGTTGTGTATATAATCATCATCATCTTCTGCAGCTTTACTACTCCAATCAATCACCATGTCACCACAACCTGAGATAAAGAAACATACAACAATTCCGCACCATTTACTATCGAAACAACGTGGAGGTATGTCCACTTTTATCACATATTCATATTCCCCTTTCTTCTCAGACAAAGGATAATCTTCTTTATTTTGAAACCATGATGGCATTTTGCATCCGGGAATAATTGCATAGAAATCTCTCGGGGCAACACATTCAAACAGCTGCAAACATACCAAATTGTTATTAACATTAATTACCCCATGAAGGGAGCATATGTGACACAAAAATGAGACATACATACATACATACATACATACATTGAACATATATATACCGGGCTCTTCTTCCTCATCATAAGGGATTACATATTTAGTTCGCCCACGACACTGAAATAAAGAAATAGTCATGTTATGTAATTGTAGTTTTAAGAGGGGGGATACACATTATAGGTGGTAGGAAGAGAAACATATACCTCATGGTCAAGTGAAGCAACCAAATTCCATAATTGTCCATCTGATGATAATGGTTCCATCGAATCACAATTGGAGGCATTTAATCGAATTAACCGTGGTGGAAGCCTTGGCAATGACTTAAGCATCGTGCAAAAATCCAATGAAAGAAAGACAAGTCGAGAAAGACCAGAGAAGCAACCAGTGGGTAGATAAACAAAATCATTACCTGATAGATCCAATACAATGAGTGATGATAAACTGTGAAAATCATCAGGAATCGATCCATCATTTATGCCACACCACTCTAAATATAACTCTGTTAATGACGTTACATTCAAGCCAGCAATTTGACGAGTTATGTGAGTCTTCAAGAACTCGTCAAGATTAAGAATTTTGCAACACCGTAAATCTAAATATCCAAGACCCGTCAAGGATCCAAGTGATATAGGAAGTCTACGTATAGCAGTGTTACTCACATCAAGATATGATAATTTTTTCATACCTTCCCCGAACTCTGGGAGCACTGCAACTTTTCCACACCTACTAAGATCTAACTTTATCAAGGAATCTGTTTCAAATTTTTCTGGTAGGATTTCAAGATTTTTACAACCATCCAAGTACACCTCAACAAGTTCTTTCAACTGTCCAAGTGAGGGATGAACCTTGACAAGAGATTTGCACTCACTAAGACGTAAATGCTCTAAATTTGGAACTCTTGAGAAGTCTGGAGTTTCCGTAAAATTGGGAGAATTTCTCAAGTCCATAAATTTCAAATTCTTCATAAACTAGAATCAAACAAAATATTAGAGTTAGTCTCACTAAACAATGTATCAATAAAATAATGACACAAATATATTTTCAAGATAAACAATGATGAATGAAGCATCAATCTCACCTGTTTGTCATTCCAAAGTTGCTTTATCTTGCTTTTATGCATTTCAATTGCAACAATTTTATGCAATGGAGTTTCAAGTGGAAGAGCTTCCAAAGGAAATAATGGCCATCGAACAACTTTTAATGCACCAGATAAAGATTTCAATCCGCTTGGTAAGATGAACCAACTACGAAGTGACAAGCAATCTAACATCTCTGTCTCTGTACCAAAGATTGAAAAGAAGAATAACCTAATGTTACTCATCTTTGAAAAGGCTTCAGGATGTACTTCTACTTCTAGCTCCCCATAACGATCATCTTCCATAACAATGGCTTGTATTGCCTCAGATCCCTAATAAAAATGTCATTTTAAAGAAAAATAGCATGAGAATGATACCAGAGTGAAGAATATTAAAAACAGTAAATGTATGTCAATAAAATGACATATTTAGAAAATAAGGCCCTCACCTTGTTTTCTTCCAATACTTCTTTGATGTCCTCAAACTTCCACAACCTACTACGCTTGCCAACATTATTGGGAGATTCTTCTTGCTTAACTATATTCCTACCCAACTCTTGAAATAAATCATGCATCTCTAATCTGCAATCTTCTGTTTCAACTAATAAAGTTTTTTGGATCAAGATGTTTATTCCTATTTTTGCATGAAGACCACATCTTTCCAAAATTTGAGTCACATAATTTTTCCGCCAACCCTTAAAGAAACAAGCAATATCTAAAAATATTGTCTTTTCTTCCTCATTCCTTAATCCATCGTAACTTATTTTAAGTACTTGAAGGATATCATTATCAGGAATTTGCTTCAACCTATCCAAAGCATCCATCCATTCAGCTTTACTCCTCCCACAAAGAAAAGAGCCCAAAACTTCAAGTGCCAAAGGAAGACCTCCTGTATATTCAACCACAGATTCAGACAACTTCAAATAATCCTCATCAGGAGGATGATCTTCGTTGAATGCTTTGTTTGAAAAGAGTTGAAGAGATTCATCTTTATTCATTGTTTTCATCTCATATATTCTTTGCACTCCAGATGATCTGAGCAACTGACTATCTCTTGTTGTGATTATTATTCTGCTTCCATTGCCGAACCAATTTGGACTTTTAGCCAAACTCATTAATTGACGTGAATCATCTAAGTCATCAAGAACAAGAAAAACCTTTTTATTACACAGAAACTTTCTTATCATCTGCATCCCTTCATAATCATCACGAATTTTCCTATTTTTTATTTTGAGATGAGAAAGAAACCTTTCTTGTAAAGAGACTAGGCCTTCTCTTTGCAGTAAAGTCTCTCTGACATTGGCAAGAAAACAACATACTTCAAACTTGTGAGATAGTTTTTCAAAAACAAATCTAGCAAGAGTTGTTTTGCCGACACCGCCCATACCCCATATCCCTGCAAAACGTCTATCATCCAACCCAATCTCCAAGATTGCCATCATATAAGGCACTCTTGACTCAATCCCAATCAGCTGATTGTCATCATAAGATGGTAATTTAGAACTTAAATAAGTCCATACATCTCCAACTATTTTTTTTATAACATCTGCTTCGTGCCTACCAAAAAATATATATCATTATTTAACATGATTTATACATGGTTCTGATAAATTAAAATAATAATGAAAAATGTGACTTCTAGCGAGTGTTGTTTGCTAAAGCTACAATACATTTTTTGTATAACAGAGGAATTGTTGAGCAAATAAGAATTTATCCATCTACTCATTATTTTAAAATTAGAAACGTGATCATTTTACCCCAAAAAAAAATCAACTTATTCACAATTTCGTTTTATTGATAGATATAAATTCATCACTTATTAATTATCAATGTGTACTGTTATTCAGTTAAGCTGTTCATCATTGGAAATTTGATTTTTTTTCCCCCCCTGTTAAGGGATCAAAATGAGTGCCTTTGAATTTTCCCTATGTTGCCACAATGGAAACAGTCCTCACAAGCTTAAATGATCTTGTGCACAAAACATAAATGGACTTTTAATTTCAAGCTACACAAAATCTCCAAGATGTGAAAAAAATGAAAAAGAAAATTTATGATTAAGACACTTCATGTATTACAGAGAAAATAATTAAATAGTGGGCCATAGTGGATTTTATTATTGAAATATATTTTCTTAAAAATTTTAACTGCAGTTAGGGGAACGCTTGTAGAAGTTTCAAATACATAATAGAAAATTCACAACGAAGGGCGAGTGATATATAATGATTGTTAGTTATGATTAAATTTATAATCATATTGAAGAAACGAAATGTTAGCAACAGACCGTCAAGGAGTTGGCTGCATAATTTTGTTGTAAATAACATAATATTAGGGGTGCTCTTCCAAAAAGTACGGAAAAAAAAAAGAGTTTTTATATTAGGTATGGAACACAATTGATTATGCCGTTAAAAGATTTAAAAAGAAATAAATGTTTGATTGGCATTTTGTTGATGAGTAAGTTTAAATTGCAGAGTGACCGACTGCTAGGTGAAAGGATATAAAAGTGCCACCAAATCCAGGAACCTTAAAAATAAAATTTGAGTCAGGTCAAAGCTCAGGTATAAGTTCTTCAACATAATTGTCTCATGGTAATATTTGTTCTCATGATAATATATAAAAACATAAAATAAGCTATAAATGAATTATTATCTACGAGACATTATATTGCACGTAATTAGTCCGAGGCTGGCAAACAAGCTCGAGAAAAGGAAAAGGAAGACAATAAAAAATCGTGATAAACTATTTAAACCAAAATTAAAAAGATCATAGCGGAAAAATATAAAATGTAAATAAATATGGAAAATATGACAAAGAGATTGTTTAAAGGGGGGGGGACTTACTTGCCCCTGGTGTCCCAACCAGACAAGTTGCCAATTTCACACAAAGTATCTTTCCAATTCTGCACTTTGGTCCCATCTTCTATGAACTTCTTTTCATATTGAGCCAAGGATTTTCCAAAACTCTTTCGTTGGTGTCTTACATCGGCTGGATCAACATCATAGAAGACGGGAAAAACCTGTCGATGCAATGTTTTTCGGGATTCAAGAATTTTTTGAAGTTCATCCAAACACCATGTAGAATTTCCATAATTTTCGGAGATAACAACTACTGCACAGAGAGAATCCTGAATTGCTTGAAACAGATCTTGTTTTATGTCTCCCCCTCTCTCAAGATCTACATCATCTCTGAAAGTTACGATCCCACTTCTTTTGAAAGCTTCATCCAAGTGATCTGTAAACTTCAAGCGAGTGTCTTTTCCTGCAAAACTCAAGAAACATCATATTTCCAGTTAGGAGTTGAATTAAAAGGATCAGAGCTGGAAGAAGACTCTCCTCCTCCGAGTATATGCCATTGCAGGGGTTCAATCTTTTCGTTTTTCCCAAAGAGTAATCTGCAACAACATAATCATATAAGTAATAACGCAGGAAAACAAGAAAAGGAATCAGATGTATGAAATTAGAAATAGAAGAAAGTAGAGAGAAGCTTTTGTGCGGATCTATAGAAGTCATTATGCAGAGATCGATACTGTTACGAAAGTTATTGAAGTTATTGAGCCAATCTTGCTTGCTTCTGGACGCTCACTGCTGTGATCTGAAGACCCAAACTGCCATAAAACGAGAGATGTGGACGAATAAAGAACCAATTACCTTTTTCCTTTCTCTTTTCCTAACGTGCTTCTTTTTCCGTTGAGTGAAAAGCAGAGACTTACTTTAGTGTGGCTTCATGATTTTTCCTTCTTATTTACGAGCAATATCCTCGTTTAATTTACAAGCCTATACAAATAAGTGTGCTTCAAACATTTTACAAAAAGAAAAAAAGAAAAAAAGAAAGAAAGAAGCAACCAGTTAAATCTGGTATATATTTTTAAATTTTTGGGCCAAATTTTAAATTCTTATTTTACAAAGCATCACCACATCATCTAAACGATATAACAAAAAAAAAAGGTGTTTTTTATAAACAAACTTAGTTGGACTCTATAAGATGTTGGTGAGAGAAAAGTGGATTCTAATTTCAGATATATTATATTACTGCTTATTTCCTTATGTGAAAATTGAAATTCATTATTTTTTTAAGGCAAAAAGGGGAAATAATCGTGAGGTTTCTTCTGAGAAAGAGCTCTCAAAAATCTTTATCCAAAAAGCAAAGAAAAATTACTGATGGTAATATCGAGAAAGAGAGAAAACAAAGGTGAGATAAATTTGAATAAAGATAAAGTTGAATTTTTTAATATATAATAAATTTAATGAGTTAACTACTATTCTAAAATTACGAGAAAATAGTTGAAAATAACTTATATTTTGTATGAGAACAGGAGGAAATACTTCTCTGGTCATTTTCATTACCATTATAGGTTACCTGTAACATTTTAAGATGAATAAAAGGTAATTATAAGTCATTAAAATTATTTTAAAATAAAATAAAATTATTTTACTCGTATCTGAAGAATTCTTTTCAAAGTTTTGTTGCATTCTTTTTCATAATTAATAACTTTAATTCGGGGTCATATATTGGCAGAATCTAGTTGATATCCTATAGTGATTTATGATAAAGAAATAAAGACTATTTATCTCTTTTTAAAAGGTGTTTTATAATTAGGACCAGGAAGATTATACAGTATAATCCACACACGCATAAATCAATGGAAAAAAAAATCAATGTGAAAGCATATATTCTTGATGGCAAAAAATAAAATGGAAAATGAAAGATCATAACCCATTTTTTAGTGGACTTAAACCTTTCGTAATATCCAAAAAGCCATAGCGTTCCCTGCACTTAGTAGGCTAAAGACTTAATTAAAAGGATTGATTCTGTGTGTTCGTGGGAAAAAATTGCTAAATTGATATATTAATTATAGGATTCAGATTCATATAGTAGCCGAAAGCATTTTTCTTTAGTATCATAAAATATTTTGCCGTTTAATTTTGTCCTTAAATTATATTAGGTTAAAGTGTATCCAATGAAATATTTTCTTATATGCATTCAGCATCTCAAAATATTTTGTGATATATCCAACACCCTTAAATATTTTTTTAGGTGTGTTCAATACTCTGAAGTATTTTTTTCTGCCTTAGTGCTGGATGCACCAAAAAAAATAGTTTACGGTGCTAGACGTACTAAAATATACTTCAAGATGCTAGATACATCACAAAATATTTTAGGATGGTGGATACATTTAGAAAAATACTTCAGGATGCTGGAATAAAAATATATAAATATAGAATATATAAATGGGTTAAGGTGCAATTTTGACCCTAATCTTATTTCTCAGATGCAATTTTGCTCCTAATCTTTTAGTAGTGCAATTTTGCCCCTGATCTTATTTTTAGGTACACTTTTGCTTCTAATTTTTTTTAGATGCAATTTTAGCTTTGATCTTTCTGTACAATTTTACCCTTGATCATTAAGTGCAGCCTTACCCCTAATCTTATTTTTTAGGTGCAATCTTACCCCTGATCTTTGGGTGGAAGAAAAAAAAGATCAGGTCAAAATTGCATCACTAAAAAGATCAAGAGTAAAATTATACTTAAGAAATAAAATCAGAGTCAAAATTGTACGTTAACCCTATATAAATTATATAAATCTAGAATAGAATATATTTTAATTTATTTATTATTAATTTTAATTATATTTCCAAAAGAGCAATTTTAACTTTACCCTTAACTTCCCAAAAATTTTCGTTGAGTATCTTATGGTAGCACTTACACCTTAAAGTAATATTTTGGTGCAATTTTAGTTTTAAAGTATTTTTAATTAATTTTTACCATATTTTTCTCATATTTCTAATACTAAACTTCTATTTTTATAGTATTTTTAATAATTAGGTTTTTCAATTTTTGTTAATCATCTTAAGTATTTTCTAAACATATCTTCTATGTTTTTAATCATAATTTTTAATTATTTTTGTATTGAAAACATGGAAGATAAATATTGAAAACATTTAAGATGACTATTGAAAAATTGGGAAGTCTTTACTAGGCAATGAAAACAATTAAAAATTTTA